AGACAAGGATGTCGTGCGGGACACTGTCAAAGGCCTTGCACAAGTCCAGGTAGAAGGTTGAAAGTGTTTTAGTTAAGAGTCTTTTCTCAGAAAATTCTAAGAAATCCTTTTCACTTATGATGTTGACAGTAAAATCACCAGTCTTGGACTTTTGTTTGGTTGGTTGGTTGGTTGATTTTTTTTGGGGGGGGAGGTTGTTTGTTGTTTGTTTTGGTGGTTTTTTTCCCTTTGGTTTTTGGGGGATTTTTTGGTCAGAGGAGTTGAGGTGAAGCAATGTCCTTAAAACAAGCTTTATTAAACTTATCATATATTGGATCCATTTCTGTGGGCAGTTGCAATGGGTTTTGTCAACATAAAAAAATTCTAAATGTTCAACGTGATAATGATGGCATCCCACTTAACATGATATTGGGCAGCTTCAGGACCAGTTTTGAGGTTATTGAATAAGTTGATCAGTATGAGTCATTATATTTTCTGTTCTTTACTGAAGCTGTATTTGTTCTTCTTTCTAATATACTGGGGGTGTGTGTGTGTGTGTGTTATATCAGTGTTTTTGAGAATGCTGGACAGTATACATCCTTTTTTGTTGTTGTTGGCTTCATGATGATTTATTGGTACGCCCCTTCCAGGGAAATAATTGTCAAGCTACTTGTTTTTGAAATGACTTTTCTGAACAAGGATAAACATAGTGCTGTTTTAAAAGTGTCTCTAGAAACTGCAAAACCACTGATCTCAATATAGATATGCCTTCACTTTGGAGTTCAGCGTATCAGAGCCTTGACCGCCTCGTTCGGAATTTGAAATATGGACGTAATTCATGTGACGATATTATCAAACTGAAACCAAGTAAAGGTTTCAGTTCAGGAAAATGTGTTCAGGTACTTCAGTGTTCTCCTGAATTGGGGAGGGTTTACTATAGTATTTCAGAGTCAATCAAGGTCTAACAGAAGATGATTTTTTGATCACGTGTTGTATAAATCTCTCTTGTTTAAATGTAATCATGTGCAGGGCTTTTCTTTCCTTTCAGTCATCTCCTAGGCAATAATCACAAAGAGAGAAAAGAAGATTTATACCTACTGTATTAACAGGAAATACGTATTTTCTCTTCCATGAAAACCTCACAAAGTTGTGATGATACACAAATGAGACACATGGCAGAGAGAGTTAAGCCTAATGACAGGGAGAAGCTGACTGTGGAAACTTAGACCAGACTTAAAGCTGGAAACATCACACTGGTGAAGTGGGGATCGTATCGCCTATGTAGAGACCCAGTGCATGTGCTTTCCACTAGTCTATCTCAAAGGGTAATGTAAAGAAGGGCCCCCAGTACTTGCTTTGTTTGGAGCCTGCCTCCCCTTTGTGGTACCTGTCCTGTCTCTGTAGCTCTTTGGAGCAGGGACCTTCTATTCCATTTAATTTGCATCACTTAGTATAAAAAGGTTCATTCTTAGCTGGTTTCTCAAAAAAAACCTCCCAAAAAACCCCAATGATGATAAAGTAATGAGCACCCAGTGAGGTACAGCCATTTATATATACCAACTGAAGCTACAGTTAACTACATTTAAGGGCAAAATGCCATTTAAAGTCATTTACAACCAAGTACACCTGTGTGGGGGAAAAAAACATGTGTGTGCACATTAGAAAGTTTTAAATAGAAACAAAGGTGAAATAAGTGGCATTCTCTGCTCATTATTATTAGATTTGCTAACCTAGCATAATTTCATTTTTATTATTACCTTTTAAAGGGAGTGCTATGATCTTTTTAACACAACTTCTCAAATTTTCTTACAACTCTAATTCAAATGTAAATACTTTGTGAAGCAAGAATGTGCAATTGTTCCAACAATTTAATATTCAGAAATAAAAGTAAAATGTGGCTTGTAGAAGGGAATTGAAGATTTCAGTAGACCTGACAATACACATTTTGACCCCTATGGTTGCATACCTGCAATCTTGGTGATTTGAAACAGCAGTGCTAAGCGGTGGGTTAAGCAGTGCCACCTGTTGAATCTCTCTTCTGTGGGCACTCGTGTAGAACACCCGCCCTAAATGAAGACACCTATTGATGAGGTGTATGAAGAGTGATCAGGCTTTCCATTAAATGCATTACAGGTAAAGTTTAAAATTGTTGTATGTGTTCTGATACGTGTGTTCCGATATGCAATGAAGTCTGAAATAAAACCTCAATGCTTTTTATTTTTAAAGTTTTTTACAAAAATTTTTATTGTGCTACAGCAGCAGGAAGTTTTAAATTTTTACCTTATTAGTGTGCCTCTTAGCTTCAGGATCAGAGTTTAACTGATACAGTCACACTTAGAATCAGAAGTAAATACTGTTAAATGTATGGGCTATTGTCAGACTGACTTTGTGATTAAAAAAATCAAGGAGCTCAGTGGCATGGATCATGTATTTTAATTAAAGAGCTGTGGGATTTCTTGCCACTTAGAGAAAATCAGAATATCTTTGGGTTTCTGTCCTTTGCATTGTGTGCGTATCTGTGTTGCTGAAACTTTGATTACCTCATTCCTTTGTAGTCATGAGACACAGACAACCTGTTGGGATCATCCTAAAATGACTGATCTCTTCCAGTCCTTAGGTGAGTGCATTTCCTAAAATAAACCATTATGTGATGTTCATTCCATGAGTAAAAGCCTGCGTTTGTCTGCTGACCACGTCTGAGTTGCCATGAACTGTATGTAACAGAGCATTTCCCACTTTCAGATGAGACACACTTTGCAAGAAACCTGCTGCCTTGATCACGTCATGTTTATTGCCTTTCAGTAATTTTAATTCTGAACAATACACTCTGACTGTATGCTTTAATGCAGCATCTTGTTTATTTCTTTTAAATCCATGAGGGATTGTCCAATGATGCAGGCTGTCTGCGTGTTTAAAGCAGGATGCCAGTCTGCCGGGAACTAATTTTTGTAATAAATCAGAGTAGCTATGCTATCAGTAAAGGCTAGACCATATTATGGTACAACTAGTTCAACATGCCCTGCTAGCATTTACATTTACTGTGAAATCTCCCTTTCTGAGGAGCAAAAGGGTAAAATACTGTTAAGTGAGGAAAAATGTTACTATACCTATCAGTTTCTACAATAGAGCTTATGACTATCTGACTGTCCCTTTCAAAGCACTGTTTACAAAGTCACGGCATAGAAATTATGGCTTAAAAACCCATTTTTTTCCCTGTTACTGTGACCTTTGTGGCTTTCTGTTTCCAGTATGTTGTCTGATGGAGTTCTAAATGATTTGAGAAACATGCTGTAATTTAGCACTTGTCTGGAAACTACTTAACACTTCATAATATATATGTAAAACTCCCATTTTATCTATATGTATTACATGGGCCAAGATAGTGTCAGGATTTCTGGTGTGCCAATCTCTGAAGGCCCTGGACTGGTCAGAGTCAGGAGGCTTTCTCTGCAGGTGGATTGGACTGAGGTCCCAACTTCTAAATATGTTTTATTTGTTTTGATATATCCTATTCATTCATTGCAGAGAAGAAGAAGGGATATCAGACTTCTTCCAAAGTGTGAAAAATTATATGTAAAGGAAACTTATGGACTCTCTTTTTAGGGCTGCTCATATTTCTGTTCTGCTGTTTCAGCTGACTTGAACAACGTACGCTTCTCTGCCTACCGTACGGCCATCAAAATCCGAAGACTGCAGAAAGCACTGTGCTGTGAGTTTGGCCTTTGAGACAAATTGTTTCTTTACAGTACTTGGGGAAGAGAGGGTCAGCTTAAGTCTAACAACATTAATGTTTGACAAGGGACCACATGCATCCTTGACAGACTGTTGATATTGCTGTACACTTTAATCACAAAAAGCTACTAGGGCAAAGCAAACTACTATTATTAGCAATAATAGTGTGTGTGTGTGTATATATTGGGGATGTGAGGAAGGGTCTTAAATTTAGAATTTTAGGAAGGATTTGCACAAAGCAGGGTCCCTTCCCACCCTTCAGGTGGTTAGGTTTTCCTTCCAGCCTAGAAGACAGCAGTCTGGTCTTGGCAGTAGCTTCTTGGCTGGACTTCAGATATGCATTATACCAAACGAGGCTGTGCCTGAGATGCTAGCTGGCTACTCCAGAAAGCTAGAGTGCATCTATGCAACAGCACAGGCTCTTGGGAGTACCTCTTGCCACTTCTTCATATGCTATGCTGGCTTCTCACAGAATTTCAAATCAAGTTCGAGATTTTAGGTTCAAGGTCTTACATTTGGGAAAAAGCAGAAACTGTCCTTTGAATAGATTGTCTGATGGCATTGAAAGAAAAATTGTATTTCTTTGGCACAGCCTAGAGCTTCTCTGTGCAAGAGAGATGTTCCCACCTAAGGCTATAGTTTTATCATCCAGTAAGACTAAAGAGCATTATGAGCTTTCTGCGTATCAGTGCGCAGGGTAGAAAGTGTGCATCAACAATTAAACCAAAAGCAAAGCAAGAAACCAGAAAGCAAAGGAAAATTCTCCTTGTGCATGTTGCTCCCCCTGGAAGAGAGAAAAAACAGACTGCACATGATGGATGCTAATCATACTGCCTATTTGACAGGCATACAGATTGTCTAGCGACCTGTATAGAACAAACTTCACTTTCATTACTACTAATAAGCTTTGAGGAGGAACATAGTTCCTATACTTGCTTTTACTACGTAATATATCAATTTCTGTAATAACTGCAATGGTTAGCTCTCCTCATTCAGGGATTTCAAAAGTGCATTCCTATCAAAGTGAATATTATCTCCAGTTTCAGGGGAGGGAGGTGGAAGGAGGACAGAGGGAAGCAGTAAGAAGTAAAGCAAATATTCCAGTTTGAGAGAGCCAGGAGTAAAACTGTCATTTCTACAGATCCAATCTGCCTTGTTATTTATGAAGCTGTTTGCTCCATTTCTTTGCCTCATGGGAGGAGACCACAGCCAGAAAAATCTTTGTCTTTATTACATGCACGTATTTGACAAAGGATTGGTGTAATTTGTGAGAACACAACGTCAAGGGTTTTTAAGAAAGACATTGCAGATTATCTGCAAAGCTAAATGCTACAAGAATCTTCTGTCTCTGAACAGGAACTCGTTATGATCTGGCACAATTTTAAGACCACCTTCAAAAATATAATCAGTGCTGTTCCTTTTGTCATTGTTTGCTTAGTTGATTATTTCTTGCCTGGGAACAGGTCAAATTTCCTTTGACTCTGATGATTCTCAGCCTGATTCTGTCCCATGAATGACTGCTGAGGTAGCCAAAATGCAACATGTGCTAGCACCTCCTCTCTGAGGAAGGGGAGAGCGGTTAAGCACTATCTATAATTCTTGTCTTGACTTTTATTTGTTGGTGGTTTTGTTTTAAGGTGGGG